TCAACAGGGCTTTAATCTAATCTTAGAGACAGGGGAAAATTTTCTGCTACATATTCTGGAAAGTCCATGGTTGCCGATGGATGTACAAGCTTAGCAATGGGTATATTTGAGGACAGGTAGCACTGAGCATCTTTGTATTACAGATTGATACAATCAGAGCTTTACACCTTGGGAGAGGAATGAGAGAGAGAGAGAGAGTCTATTGTCATTTACTCTGCAGTAAGTCCACAGTAATTCCGGTAAATTTAATGGAACACACTCATTTCCTTCCCCGCTCCCACATTGCTCCTGGGGATAGTAATTTACTGCTGGACAATATCAGCAGTAAATAATTCTTCTCCACTCATGTGTGATGACTCAGCTGTGCTAGCTGGAGAATAATAGGATGGAACAAAAGCTCCACCCATTTCCTACCTCTCCCCACCCACTTGTTCTAGAAAGGCTAAGCAAATCCAGTCACCCCTTCCGCCTGAATCCTGACACCTAAAGTGTAGGAAACCTCTGTTGCCCACTTATGCAGGTGCTTAGGACAAGCCATAATCCAGCCTCTCCATCTTTAGTCCACCATTGGGAGGGGAAGAGCATGCACGTGTGTCCCAGCCTCCCCGGAGCAGTGGGGAGGGAAGAGGCCATACAGTCCCAGCTGGCCGGAGCCTCCTCAGCCCCCGGAGCAGTGGAAAGGGAGGTGATCATGTGGCTCCAGCCTCTCTGGCCCCCAGAGCAGTAGGCGGTGTGCAGCTTGAGCCACCCTGGAGCACGGGGAGGGCAGGAGCCGGGGGCAGCAACACTCTACCCCAGCAACTACACAACGCACCATAATAACTCGAACTCAGGAACCAATCCTTGCAACAAACCTCGGTGCCAACTCTGCCCACATATATACACCAGCAACACCATCACAGGACCTAACCAGATCAGCCATACTGTCACTGGTACATTCTCCTGCACATCTACCAACGTAATATATGCCATCATGTGCCAACAATGCCCCACTGCTATATACATTGGCCAAACTGGACAGTCCCTACGTAAAAGAATCAATGGACACAAATCTGATATTAGGAATGGCAACATACAAAAACCTGTAGGGGTTTCTTCCTGGACACACAATTACAGATCTAAAAGTCGCCATCCTGCAGCAAAAAAACTTCAGGACCAGACTTAAAAGAGAAACTGCTGAGCTACAGTTCATCTTTAAGTTTGACACAATCAACTCAGGATTAAACAAAGACTGTGAATGGCTAGCTAACTACAAAAGCAGCTTCTGCTCTCTTGGAATTCTCCCCTCCAGATCAGCTGCTAGAAGGGGGCCTCATCCTCCTTGATTGGATCCACCTCGTCATCTCTAGCCTGATCCTGGCCTGCATATTTATCCCTGCCTCTGGAAATTTCCAGTACATGGATCTGACGAAGTGAGTCTTTGCCCATGAGCCAGGGGCAGCAACACTCTACCCCATGAAAGCTTATGCTCCTACACTTCAGTTAGTCTACAAGGTGCCACAGGATTCCTCGTCGCTTCTACCCCCAGAACACCCGTAGTAGGTGTACTGGGGATTGAGTGTGGGAGGAGCCAGGCTGGCAGTTTGGGAAGGCAGCGTCTCCACCTGCCTAAGCCACTGGATGCCCATGAATGTCTCTTGTTTGTTAGATAATAGGATAGAAACAACTTTACACTGAACTTCTCTCCTGCCATACTATCTTATGGCATCACAAATGCAGTGGCGTAGTAGGGAGCGGGGGCAGTTGCCCCCGGGCGCCATGCTAGGGGGGCTCTAATTTAGTCCCCCTCCACTCCCAGTCATCCCTCGGCTCACCTGCTCCTCCTCCACCCACCGCCGCCGGCTGTAGCCTCCTCCCTGCCTTTCCGTCCTCAGCCCCGCCCTCCTCCATCTTTGCTGGCGGGTTAGTGCATGCGGAGGCCCAGCCACAAACTGGAGAGGTTGGGAGAAGGTGTGATACAAGCTTTCCTCCCCCTCTCCTCCCAGGGTTGGGCTCAGCCATGCATCAAGTTAAGGGCCCTGCCGCATGGCAGCAGCAGGGTGTGTGTGCAAATTTTGCCTTTGACCCTTGGCGCATCACACCCTCGCTACACCTCTGCACATATGACATCTCTTTTCTGACAGTTTGGCTGGGAGTTGGATTGGGTGGCTGTTACTGCTGCCCAGGGGGCTTAGAAAAGCCAAGTGCAGTTTATAAAATCTTGTTTTAAAATACAATTCCCCATTTTTAGTTGGCAATAAATGCTATTCCCTGGCTGGAGTTTCGCCCCCTTCCCTGAACAAGTTGGGTACAGTTTTCCAGTAAGTGAACTTATTCAAACCACCCCTCTTGTCTGTTTGAGTGTTCCTAAACAAAAGTCTCTGAAAAGTGATAGCAACGAGCCATCTGAAATCTGCTGTGGGGAGAGGTTTTAGAGGGAGGATCCTAAATCTGGGAAATAACCCAGCAGTGAGCACCTACTATTTGATATTCAAATTAGGTCAAAGAATAAAGCTGGATGGGGACGGGCCAAATATCGGAAAATCCTTTTCCGGAAAAAGAATTGGAAGAAATTATGCAACTGCAAGCGCAATTTGCATACCTTCTTTGAAAACCCCCCTCCACAGTGTAGCTGTACCCATCAGTGAGCAACAAAAGACCATTGGAGCAACCTCTCCATTCAGTAATTATATGAAAATGTATGATATTTGTGACTGCTCTTAATTATAAAAAAGGTTCAGTCATCTCAGTTGAACTAACAGGCACCACAGGGCACATTAGCCCTTGTAAGTTAAAATATCTTAGATAAGGGTTCATGGTCTTTACTCATACTGAGCTTTTTGCCACAAGGAATCCCACTGAAATCAAGAGTAAGGTACCACTCAACATGAGTATAGCAGAATAGGCCCTCGAAGCATGTTCTTAAGAAGAAAAATGGAGACCAAATATACTCATGCAAGATTATAAAAGCAACTAGATAAATTTAAATCTTCTTAATTTGTGCTCAGCAGCAGGCCTGACCGGAGGGGTGGGGGGGCAAAGGAGGCAGTTGCCCCAGGCCTAGCAATTCAAAGAGACCCAGGGTTCCCAGCTGTCGCTGTTGCTACTGTGGCAATGACAGCAGCCAGAGCCCCCTGACTGCCAGAACACCACACTGTGCTCTCTGTGTGGCTCTGAGGGCTGAGTGGGGGCACGCACTGTGCTCTGGGCAGTGCGAAGGGCTGGCTGCTCTTGGCCCTGCCCCTTCTGCCTGAGGCCCCGCCCCTTCTGGGAGCACAGAAAGGCCCCTCCCCCACACCTCGCTCAGGGCTCTGGGCAGGCTGTTGGCTTCCCTGCGCAGTAGAGCCCCTATTCAGAATGCAAGTGCTAGTCACCCTTAACGACTAATAGCTTCAGTGGGTCCCGTAAGGCCTGTTCCCTCCCTGATTGACTTCAGCAGAGCAGAAGCCACCCCCTAGTTGGAAATTGTTCTGATTAACCATTAGACCATGCTTGACAGTCCCATTCCTGTGTTAATGTTGTTGAGTCAGCTGAGAGACCTCAGGATCCTAAAGCAAGTATCTCATGGGGAGCCATAATACTGTGACTACAGCACCATGGGATTCAGGACTTTCATTCAAGGCCAGTGCTGACTGCACGACTAGGACTTTCTATCTGTGAAAAGCAACAACGTTACAGATTTTTCACAATGGCACTTGAACCCTTCCTATCCATGTCATTTTGGGATAATAATATATATTATTAAGCCAGCTGATTGTGCTGATTGCTATTTTCATTTGCTGCATGCGTGTGGAGATATTTTTAGAGCAATACATCCATTCTTTTGTCCCTCAAATCACTCACACTTTAAACGATTCAGGACCATAACGTATCTGTACTCACTACTGAAAACAAAGGGTGAGTTTCATTTGCACCTAGGGAGATGTGATTTCCCCTGAGGGGCCTATTCCACAGCAGCACTTCAAGAAGAAAATCCTGCAGAAAAACAACATGCTCTCTGCTTTCTTCTGACAGTGCAGGCCTGAGATTTATGCTGGCTGTAATTGTAATCAAAGTTAATTTAATTCTGATGTGTAGGTTGCTGAGCAACTAAAGACAATTTATCCAGAGGGGAGAGAGAGACTGTAATCATCCAACCTGGAGTAACGGGGAGGGTAAATAACCATTTACCATTGTAGTGTTCACTAAAGTGAACTTCTACATTGTGAGAAAAATAGGGCAGTTGTATGGGTGAAATCAACTGAAATATATTTGAATCCTGTTAAGAGTTCTTTTCTATTGTGTCTCAGAGAGAACATTGGCCTGAAAAGCCAGTGTGACACGTGTGTGACTTTGCAGAACAAACTGAATTTCCAGAAGAGAAAGCTGGTACAATGGCCAAGAGGGTAAATTCACCACTAGCAAAAGTGGGTGTAATTCCGGGGAAGTATGAAACTGCTCTGAGAATTTTACAGTCTGCAAACAGGCAAGTAGACAGAGCCTATCAAGGGAGGGGGAATACAATCCCAGGCAGTGACCATCCTTCGTGAATGTGTGGGCTGGACCTAAGCTCATACTAGGCACTACCATAAATAAAGTATTAATAAACCGATAGAATTGCACCTGCTTACATCAGCAGGCAATTGGGCCCTGAGATGTAATAGATTCAGATGTATTGATCTGAGAGTATTTTGAGAAGGGAAACCTCAGGATTATGTTAAAAAGACACCTTTGGACTAACATAAGAAATATTTGAAGCTATGGCTCTTGTAGTAGCTTATGAAACTCTAGCACATTTATTTAGATAAGGCTTCTGTTCAGCTCCTACTGTGCCATCATCAGTCTCATTTGTCAGTGATTAGCACATTTCATGATGTGATCTCAGTTGGCATTTGCTACTTTGGGATGGGAGTTGGACTGCTGGAGGCAAAAGTGGCTTGTTGATTAAGTGCTTCAGTGGGGAAGCCCATCCTTGATGAGCATTGCTGTCATCAGCCTTGCAACAATCAAGGAGAATTTTTCCTTCATGTTTTTCAGAAAACAAAGCGAATCCATGAAATTTTGAATTCTCTGAATAAGTGTGGGAAAGAAGTTGGAAGACAGCCTCAAAAACCAGGCATAAGCAGTCTGTTCAGAAAAGGATTTCAGTGTGAAGGGATGCAGTGCAAGCACACTGAACCAAAAAGGATGGGCTAAGGCTTTCAAATATGCCTCTCGGTTCCCCATTTTAGCTATCTTAAAGGGGCTTAGTTTTTCAGAGATTAGGTGTCTTTAAGGTAAGCGGAACATTGAATATTTGAAACCATTGGTTGCTTTTAAAAATTTTGGCCAGGAAACATCACACCTGCCCTTCCCCCAAAAATTTAAAAGTGACACCCCTGCAATATTGTTGCCAGTGGTGGTGCACTGGTGTAAGTGATTGAAACTTAGTAAACAATTGTGTTGATAATGCTCAAAAGGAGCTTGAATCAAGGTTCTGCTCTTGTAGCTGGTTAGCTCTGCAGGGCTAAACAGGAGTAAAACCCCCAAAAGTTACTTGTCACTTTATGTAAGCAGACAGGATTTTGAACTCACTAAAACAGCAGATCTGCTGAGTAAGATGGCGCTGTATATACGCAGATGCTTTTCACATACCTTAATATGGCTGAAACACAATGTTCCCTCTAATTTTTTCCATCCGTGTGGAGAATATATGTTTGTTATATGCACCAAGGCACGTGTGGATGTGAACCACCAGTAGAAACACATGCTGCCAGCTGTGGGCTGCTAGCTGCTAATCAGCTGGGTGGCATTTGAATCTCTTCTGGGTGGCTGCCCAGGTGCACAGCTTACCAGGAACACTGCTGAGATACCAAACCTCAAAATTGGATATGGTAGCAGAAAAGCTACAATGAACTGAGAAGTAATCCCATTGAGCACAAGCTCCAGTGGACAGTTCTACAGATAAAAACAAGAAGAATTTGAGTAGGCAGAAAAGACTAGCTCTAAATAGGAGACAACGGACAAGCATTTGTAAATGGAGAAAATATTGGAGTTTTATCCAGATCTTTCCTTGTACTGAAAAGGTTATATATTTTCCCTCATTTTGCTGTTGTTTGCCCATGATGAAGTAATGTATGTTTTGTAATTTTCCCCAGCTGGGAATATAGACTTGTTTGTTCATCTCAGAGCAGCTCTCGCCGCATCACTCTGTAGCAGGGGTTCTCAAACTTCACTAAACCACGACCCCCTTCTGACAACAAAAAATTACCACATGACCCTAGAAGGGGAAACCAAAGCCTGAGCCTGCCTGAGACCCACTGTCCTGATTAGAGGGACCAAAGCAAAGCCTAAAAGCTTCAGCCTCAGGTGTGGGGATCCGTAATCTGAGCTTTGCCATCATGGTGTTTATCCCCTCTGGATAAATTGTCTCTCCTCCAGCCCTGCCCCTTCTGCCAAGGTTCCACCCCCACAGGATCCAAATTGTCTCCCTGCCCCCTCCTTTTCACCAGAGGGAGGGTGAGAGCACAGCCCCAGCCTCTGCAACCCCAGAGCATGGGGAGGACCGGCAGGCACGTGGCAAGCGACTCCAGCCTTCCCAGCCCTGGAGCCCAGAGAGGGTGGATGATCCGGGGCAGCAACACTCCACCCCCACTATGCCTACAGTAGGCATTCTGGGGGCAGAGAGTGGGCAGGGCCAGGCTGGTGGTTAGGGAAGGCTGTGACTCCCCCGCCTAGCATACCAGCTGCCCGTGCTCACCACCAGGGCCAAAGCCTGAGCCCAGCTGCCCAAAGCTGAAGAAGTTGGGTCCCAGCAAGTCTAATTTCAGCCCTGGAGACCCCATTAAAATACGGTTGTAACCCACTTTAGGTCACCCAAGTTTGCTCCACAGAATCCATCTGAGAAAAAAAAAATCATGAAGACACAAACCGTGCTGGTATTTGCATGATCTGGCTATAGTACAATGGAGTATAAGCCCAGTACCTGTATATCCAGTGTGAATCATAAGATGACTGTGGCAATATACATTGGACCATTTCAGCTATGTGGCACTTCACTTTCACTTGTCATCAGACAACTAGAACAGTGTTTCTCAACCTTTTTTTTTATAAAGTACCCCTTGAAAAAAATTATAAGTACCCCCAGTACCTACAGTTTTCAGACACACAACATTTTTTTTCTACCTTTGCAACACGTTTGTTTAAACAACTTAATCGTAGCCAGGCAGGCAATGACATTTTTGGGTGTGAAAAGTACAAAAATAATAAAACACTGTAAAACTTGAAACAAAAATTCAGTTTTCTCCAAATTTCAGTTGTGTTGACATCCCCCCAGACTTCTCTCGAGTACCCCTAAGGGTTCTCGTACCACTGGTTGAGAAACACTGAACTAGAATACTGCATGGTTGTTTATCAAACACCACAGCCCTTTCATTTTGCTGCTTCTCCTCGTTATTGATAACACAGATATCATTGTCTTGCCATAATGAGTATCAGTAATGTGCTGCGGGTTAGCTACTAGATTGCCATTTCTATATTTTATCACGAAGAAGGTAGATTAATAAATTTAGCTGGGTTGTGGTAGGGCCTCCCGATGTGCTGAAGGGAGTCAGCAAGCCTGATTTACAGTTCAGAATCAGCAGGTTGCAGGCTACTCAATGGGTATGTCAGGCTGTATTCCACCTGGTCCCATGACTTACTGGCAATGTTAAGTGGTAAATTCTTCATGTGAGCACAGGCATGTACTTGGTACAGTTCATCCCCCCTCCTCTGACACTTGCCCCTTTTTCAGAGAGCGAGAGAGATCCTGGCGCACATTTACATCGAATACACAAGGTTGCGGGTCCTCCTTTTTCAGCTCCTCCTCTCTTTAGGTTCTTGTGCACTTTCCCCTGCATCTCCTGATTCACACTCACTCACAAGTCCTCCTTGTCAACCTCCTCCTGGCGCAAAGTGGCCATCCACATCCCAGGAAGAGGATGTTGGGTACAGAGGAGCCCTGTGAGTGTGAGGCCTATGTCTTTGGGTGGAGTTCCTCTGGGCCATATCCACTGGCTTTGTGGATGCCTTTGAGGAGCAGGGGGTGCTGTTCCTGGTTCTATGCTCACAGTCCCCTTCTGGTTCCCTGCTTTTGACTCCATAACCCACACTTCTATCCCTGTTTTACCATTTGTTGTCCCTCACTTTACTTGAACTATGGGCTCAGTGGCTCCTCTCCTTACAGTGAGGGAAAGGCCTTCGGATGTGGGCACACTTATGCTTGCCCAAGCCCCGGGAATGCAATGGGTGCAGTCATGTCTGCCTCACTCCCGTTCTGCTCCTGCTCTGTTTCCCTGCTTGCTCCTGACTCTGGTGTCTGACTCCTGCTTCATCAACTAGGCCTGGCTCCTGCTCTAGCCATTAGGTGTGACTGCCCATGCCTTGGTCATGACAGGTTATACACAAGAGTGCTTGGCCAGGGTAAAACACCATAGGGGAGATCAGACCATAGTGGTAAGTTTAGAGTCAAATAATGGCTATAAGCACGTAAAGTGTTCCAGTCCCTGCAGGAAGCGTCAGATCATGTCTCCATCTCACAAATTTGCCTCTTCTCCAGTGTTAACTTCTGTATTTTAATTTGAAAGAAAATACAAATGTCATGTCTGGCTTGGTTTCGAAAACATTCTCAGATTTGAACCAAGATGTGGGTCTCTCGGCGTCCAAAGCTGCTGATGTGTTGAGTGCCTTCCACTTGCAGTGAAGACAAATGAGGATGCCCAGTGGTACCTGAGGATATAATCTGGAGACAATGGGATTTGGTTGCATAGATAACACAGAACTGAGTGGCCCAGTTTTCCTCCAAACCTTTATTACCTGTGATGACCTACAGAAAAAAAGAGAATGGAACCAGGGAGCTAAGAATCAAGCTAAGTACTCAAAATTGGCTGTTGGGGAGGGGGGAGAATCTCTTCATTTGTAAATTGGTTCTCATTTGTTGTGGAAATTATTGAGAGATAATAATCGTGAAATGCCTTGCCACATTTTTACAGTCACTCTTCAGAGCGGAACTGCCTTCTGGGAAAGGAGCTTTTCTAAGGGGCTCTCGCAGCTTTCCAATTGGCAGCATCCCTAAATTTCCCAGCAGTTAGTAGACAGTTAAATAAAAAAGCAAAAGAGAAGCCACAAATACTTCCCACTTCCCCACCCCCATCGCTGTTTGTGAAAGATGAGTGCTGGCAAGCGCAGTTGCATGTCAGCATTTTAACACATTGCTTGTCACTAATGCAGCTACTCATCCGTGGAATGGATATATTCAGTGTAAATAATGAGTTTAAAATGTGGTGCTACTGCTGAGTTTATTATTGTAAATTTAATACAATTGTAGCACAACTGCAAAAATGTATGTATGCTTGGGCCTCATTCTGTGAGATGCTGAATGCCCTGCAATTCTAGGAAAATCAATCAGATTTGAGAGACTCAGCATTCTGTATTTCAGGGCTCTTGGTTTCCCTGCATATTCTGTGTCTGAATATCATTAACACTTCTTGACCCAGAAGTTATAGGCCAAATTTCAGGCCCTACTGCAAATCAAGGGGAAAATTACCTCTGCAATGACAAATGATATGACATTCAATGCCGAATAGGCTAGGAAAAATTCACATCCAACCATTCAGACAATCAGAATATTCCCTTATAACTTGCACAGTAGCAAAACCTATAGCTAAGATTTGTAGCTCAAATTTCATTGTTGCTTCCTGTTTTATTATGTTAATTACCTTTTTTAAAATTCCCCATTGGGGTTGAAACTTCCCATGCTTGTAGCATTTTACTGCCAGACAGGCTGGTGTCAGGATGAACCTGTAGGACAGGAGTGGGGAACCTCAGTCCCTCGGCTTGACTGGATCCAGCCTCTGAGGCTCAGAGCCCCCCAGCATTGCTAGCCCATGCTGGCACTCCAGCCCCCCTGATCCTCCACTGCAGGGCTATAGCACAGAAAATCCACTAGGCTGGGCCCCCTTATGCTCTGGCGTGGGAGGGGAATGTGGGAAATTTATCCTTCTCAGCCAGGGGCCATGTCAGTGAGGATTTGGGTTTTTTGGGGGGAGGGGTTGTTGGTTTTTTTTGCTTCTCACTTCTGTGTAGCCTCTGACTAATTTTTCTGTGAGTCAGTGGCCCCCAACCCAAAATAGGTTCCCCACCCGTGCCTTAAAAACTATAGACAGAATATGGTGACTAATTTTTCTGCGGCTCTCCATACTTACAGCCTGTGAATGCCCTGTCCTGGGCTTCTGTTTCGGTCCCCAGCAGGCAGTGTGTCATGGGAAACCAAAGATGCCTTCTAGAGTTTACAGGAAGTATGGATCTTTACCCTTCCTACAGCACTTATGCTTAAGCAGAAAGCTTATTCTCAGCCCAAAGGGTGAGTATGTTTGGTAAAGAAAGTCTGAATGAAATCTGTTTTGTCGTTTGTGTTAAATGAAGAGGGAAAAACAAACAAAACTTTTTTTCTGACTTAAAATATTCACAAGACCCGAAATTAAAAAAACAAAACAAACAAGAAAACACCACCACACACAATTGAATAACTGTTGAACCTTTAAAATCAGGTTTTGAAAGGGATCTCTATCCCTCTGTGACACTTCTCAGGGTTGTGAGGCACTTCGCTACCACCTTCCCTTAGAATAAAGAAGCCTTGTCTATGCTTGCCACAGGTCAGCTTCCCAACCTCACTGGCTACTGGGAATATAAGCCCTCTCCTCAAGGCCTCTCAAGCTCACTGTCATTCTGTAGGTTAGCGACAGGCATACTCCAGTCCTAGAGCCCTCTGAGGGTCTTGCTGGAGCATGCAGTCCCTAGGCCTCTGGATACCTGCTGTATTCATCAGTTCACCAGTCCCAAAGAAACATACCCCCTGTCACATGAAAGTCATATGTGGGTCCTGCAACTTAGCAGGCCTAGGATGAAAGTTTCCATCCCTGCTGTACCCAGCTTAGCACAGTGTGGGATGCTGCAAGCCCAAACAGCAGCTGGGCGTTATCAGTTCTAACCCATGCCTTGAGCTGGGAAACTACTAAACGGTAAACAAGTTTGACCTCGGTCTCAGCCCATAAGAATGGCATTGAGGCAGGTACGTGCACATTTGGTAAACACCTGTAGTATAACTAGTGTAGGGAGTTTCATGTCTGGTGAGTCTCAGCAGGGACCTAGACCTCAAATGGTATCCTGAATCCCCTGGATGGAGCCATGGCTGGAGCCATGTCCACTGCGGCTGGGTACGAAGTGTCCGGAATGGGACTTCCCGCTGACCTGAAAGGGCAGAAGCATTTCCAAGTGCCTGTTACTCTTATATGAATTGCTTTGCCTGTGCTTATTGGCGTATTACTTTGCAGTAGCTGTGTAACCATCTGGCAGTATTAAGCCTGTAATAGTAGTGACGTAGTGAGATTAATAAAAGCAACTAGCCCTAATTGACTCTGTCTTGAAGCGAATCCACAACCCTGTTGGGCCCAGCCCTGTGACTTGACGCCCCCCAGCTTACCAGTTCCAGCATAAAGGTCTAGGAGTATGTTGCTTTCTCAAAATCCTTGCAGTGCATTATAGCCAGCAGGCTGTGATCCTCCTTTCATGAACCACATATGCTGGTAACCTGCCTTTAACTCAAAGATTTTATGAGTATAAGTTTGAGTGTAGATATGTAACACACACTGAATACGATGACCAGTGGGCTACTGGCTCAGTAGAGACCTCACATTCCACCCTTAGTGAGCTATTATGCAGCTCTCTGACCCAGATAGTTCCTGTAAAATCCTAGGCACCCCCGTGTGCCCTCTGCCAGTTGGCACCAAGCGATTCCTGGGGAATTCCTCCCCTCTTTTGGAGCATGGGTGAAGAATGCAATTTGTGTCTGCTGTAATTGTGCCCACATTTTATAAGGCCACACTTAATAGCAGGCAGAAATCCTTACTGCAGTAGCAGAGTAGGTACGTGGCTCTCTACAAGGTAGGCTTTGCTTTCAGAATCAATTGTTTGTTTTTACATTTGGTTGTACTATTCGCCTAGTCAAATTGTGTCCCTGGAAAGAGAGGCTGACTTTTGAAATTCTGGGTTTAAAACTGCACACTTGCAATGTTGCTACGTCATCCTCAATGAGGAATGGGCTCTTGGAAAGTTTGTAAGAAGAGTTTAAAATAAGGAACTTATAAATAATTAAACACATTGCTTTGCTTATGCGAAGCGGAAATGTTCTGTTTGGCTTTTAGTTATATTTTTGCTGGTGTCACTTATTCTGTAGTCCTTTAGTTGTTGTTGTGTGGTGTGACTAAAGACTGTTTAGGATCCATCGAGTTGCACAAAATACCATGGTACTACCCCACAATGTCACAACGATATATAGCCCCATTTCCCTTTTAACGTTTCCCATTAAAAATTCACACACAATGGCAAATCAAATACAAAACCATACAGTAGTAAAGGATCTTTTGGCAGCTGGTTGAGTTATTAAAAGTATAAGTGGATATATATTCTTGTGCAATGGGGATGTGTTAACATTGCCTTTGGAAGTGGAACTTTAGCATTTCCTGTGGAGGGGGACGGGTTCATGTAGATTTGCAAATTTAACATTATATTGCTGTTGATTTTGCATCTAATTTATTCTGATGATTATCACTCTTTAAAAGGACATTATCAAGGCTACTAAGCTAGAAATGTGAGTAACCCATAGAGTTTCTGCTCATATATATGATCTTGTCTTCCATTCTTCCCGAGCTGTGCCTGCCTGTTCACTGGCTCTAGTTCTGATTTCACATCAGTTTTACATTATTGTAATTTTATTTGAAGTTTCTCTTAATTCACATTACTACAGATAAGAGCAGAATCTGGCCCAGAGAAGATCCATCATGTTTGTGCTCTCTCTCTCTCTTTATACATATATAGTTAGAGTAACTAAAACAGACTTTTTAAACCTAGTAACCCTGTAGGACACAATCTATCAATTCTATAAATCAGCATGTCTCAAGAGCTGGACTCAGAGCAACCAAACTCTCCCAGAAAATACAAAAGCATAACAAGCCCAGAGATGTCAGGCAGCCTATTTCCTGATTTGATTCTATTTTAAAATCATGTTTCTGAATAAAATTGCAGTCCAAATTTCACAGGTAAGCAAATATGCTCTGAAGTTTGTCTGTGAACCTCAGCAAAAGATCAGAGCCAGAGAGGAAGAAGGAGGAAAAGAAGAGATGAAGGTTGTTAAGCAAAGGTGGGGAGCAAAAGAAATGAAATTGATAAAGTGGAAAGCTATATTATTCACTTCAAGGCTCCATTTAGTTCCTCTGCCCTGGTAGTTTCGGTAAAGTGAAATTCTTTCTGGAATCAATACTGCTATCATTTCACAAAATTACAGTGGTTTGAACAGAAAACTAGTCATAAATCAACTTCATGTACAGACAGCCAGAGGAAACAGTTTTGCTTTGAGGATTTTGGTGCTTCAAAACCAGTTAAGGTGGATCATTCAGTCCTGGAATCTGTAGATACTATTCCATACAGAAATACATATTGGTACTGCATATTCAGAACTCATGGGCATCATACATACTGATTTGGAAGAGAGAAAGTGTCCAGTTTTATCAGAGAAGTGAAGCACTATTAGGACTGTGAATCTTCAGTATTTGATCATGTTTAATTTCAATGAAATTCAGACATTTTGGAAGTTATTGAGAGATGTTCGATTTCTTGGGTTCCACTTCCCTACCCACCCATCCAAAGTAGGCAAATCAGATGTCCTAGTCTTGTCTTTCTTCATAACTCTATCATAGATAGTTCTCATAGATCCCAAGGGATTTCTACAGCACACCACTTTAGCTTAAGGCCTGATTCAACTATTACTGAAGACAATTAATGGGAGTCTTTCAACTGATTCCCATGGCAGTTGGCTCAGATCCTTATCTTGTATGGAAAGGGACAGATGAGAGGAGTTAGCACTGGTTCGCTGTACTTGTACTTTGAGAGCTCCTCTTTCAGGCTCCTGTGAATAAAAACATGGTGCCACATAGGCCTTGAATGTACCAGAACTCAGCCCGCTTGACTTTCCCAAACATGAACCATTTTCTTTTAATCTGTTCTCCAATGAAATAGTAACAAGAGAAAGGAAATGATTTCTTTACAGAACTTAAGGATTTTGTGTATATAAAAGGGAATGGTTCTCTTTGGTGGCCAAGCTCCAAATGGGGCAAAAGAAAGGGAGTTTACAGCTCTCTAGACTGATTTATTCCTGCACCAATTCTGAGAAAGGCCACACTAAATTTTACACCATTGGTATATGAGTCCCCAAAGCACCGTACACCTGCAGAGCATCAGTGTAGTGCAGCATAGCTCTATTCCTGGAGCCCTGCAGGAATACAAAAAAAGGGAATCCGCATCTGCCATGCTCAATTCACCATCCAATCCGCAATCCAGATTTTACTACTATCCGCACAAGAAACCTGGGGGTGGGGGAAGGAGGGAGCACAGATGAGCCAGGTGGGGGTAAGGCTGTGCAGGGAAGAGGCAGGCAGCAGTGGGGAGAGGGAGGGGGTGTAAGTAGTGCATTTGTCACATTTTCAATATTATTAGCCTCTTTTGAGCTCTGCCATTTCTGTTCCTAGATACAGAAAGAGGGTGGGAGTGGGGGGATCCAGAGCTACCTGTTGGATTTCCACACTTGTGCTGTCCCTTTTAACAGTGTGCCCGGAGCTCTGCAGGTCAGTGCTCACCAAGTGGGGAGGTGGAGGACATGGCTGGCACTTGGCCCCTCCTGCAGGGAGATTTAGGCTGCAGCTTCTTGCATCCTTTCCCTGTGGGCAGTGCAGGGCCCTGCCTGGCACCTACCCCCCTCCACCTAGCCGAGGGGAGAGAGGAAAGGGTATCTGCTCCACTATCCGTGGATATGAAGCGACTCTCTGGAGATACGCAGGGCTCTATCTGTTTTTACTCCTGCCTTTCCTTTCATCCTCCATAAGCTTGGGGGGACTCTTGGATGGCCCGTTACTGCCAGAACCCACTCCTTCTGTCCAGCCTGAGGGAAGCAAAAGGGCTGGATAGCACTGAGAATCCAGCCCTGGCGGCAGTGGTAACGTGCAAATGGTTGCACTGGGAACAGACATAACTGATTTCACTTATAAAAACATCAATGTATTTATCTCAGGCTCTGGCCATTAGACTGGAGTGATGCCAGTATGGTCTGAGGGGAGCTCAGCAACTCCTGTGTTGTAGATTGGAAACATGAGAACTGGTAATGGTTGTAACTGTACAGCCTTTCCCTTTCCAGGTACTGCCACTTTGAAAAATAAATGTTGCAATTTGTCTTGTTCGTTTGATGTTTTCTAGGAGATCTGAAGGTCTCTCTCCCGCCGGATGCTCAATGTGTTTTTTTTCCCCTTTCGTTTA